GTTGGGCTCACCTACTGCCACATCTCCTGCTTCTGCAGGCCGGGAGCTGTGGGGAATACTTCCCACCCGCAAGTATAGCGAGTCCCGCCTCTTGTCTATATACTAATAGCCAAGTTGCCCCCTGAGTGTGGATATCTAAATCCACACATCAGGGGCACCTAGGGGGCAAAGAGATTTTCCTGCACATTTGGGGCAATCCCCAGATATGCAGAAAATCGGAAATCTATAAAAAAAACTATAGGAGGGATACTTAAATCCCCCTAAAAGTAAAAGAGCATTCCCTGCGCATGTGCAGATAATGCTCAGGGAGCTCTGTGGTGGCCAGCAGCTAGAAGCCACTCAGCACTCGGAGCTGGGGGGGGGGAAGAGATTGGTGGCGGAGCTGGGGGGAGGAGATTGATGGGCCCAGCGGCTGAAAGCCGCTCAGGCCTCACTGCTGGTGAGGGGAGAGATCAGCGGCAGAGCTGGGGGGGAAGAGATCGGCGGCCCGGTGGCTGGAAGCCGCTCAGGCCTCGCTGCCAGAGCTGGGGAGGAGAGATTGGTGGCCCAGTTGCTGGAAGCTGCTCAGGCCTCACCACCAGAGCCGGGGGAGGGAATTTACCTGTGGCCACTTCCTCCTCAGCCCTGAGGTCCTTCTGCTTCCGCAAGTCGGGAGCTGGGGGGAATACCCCTCCCATGAGTATCACGGGTCCCTCTTCTTGTAGAACCTAAATGTCAGTCCTAACTCTATTTTGGGCTTCAGTCTCTCTGTGTAGGTTTTTTTTTTTAAAGATGAGTTCAGTCTGTGTGTTGGCATTGCAGCCATCATCCAGTTCCCTATCCCATATAGCTCCTTCTGCCTGGAACCTGGACTGTATCAATCACTGCCATGCACCAATGTGTTCTGACTATCTTACCTTGTAGTTGTATAGTGTAGTCACCTTGGGAACCAGTCTTATATGAAAAGTAGAGTATAGATGATTTGGGCACAATAGTATGTCTGAGGATATAACTTCTTGGTGCACAAAAGTACTAACTTGGTTCTTAATTTTGCAACAGGGAGAACTTGAGGATAGGTTACATGAACTGCAATACAGCAAAGAACAACTAGAACTTGTAAATAGCAATCTCAGTAATCGTGCCTCACGTCTTGAAGAAGAGAGAGAAGATAAAGAAAAAGATCTTGCTTCTTACTGTAATGCATTAGAGGTGATGTATATTGCTTGCTGCTGCAAGGTGTGACAGATGCTACCCACTTTATTTATATTGATCTATTTCATCTTAAAATAGTAGAACCTTATTATTTTATACATGAATCTGATTTTCAGTGCAGCCCTATCCAGAGTTAAAGCCAATTGATTTCAATGGATTTATACTCAAGTAACAACACAGAATTGCATGGTTAATGGTGCAGCATTCTCTGGCATAAACTGAAGTATTTGGACTTAAGTGATGATCAAATGTACTGCTGGAATTGAAACTGCTGTATTGCCTGGCTGACTATTTCTTCAGAACCCACTTGGTATCTGAATCCCCTTGGTAGCATATGAGCAGTAGGTTCTGGAAGCAAGTTGCAGTGGAACCCACCAGTTGGAACTGCCCATTCTATATATGCTATGCTCATGTAGTCTTTAAGTAGGCTTGTAACAGAAACAAGTCCCACTGCTAATTGACTCCATGTAGCCAGCTGCCCAGCAGATGCCCTTTCCACGAGCCTACTTAACCTGAGAACTATCAAGAAATAGATTTGTTGCAGCATATATAGTCCTATCTGGGCTAAAGAAAACTTGCTTCACCCCACTCTAACCTACACAATACATGTGCCTTAGCTAAATCCCTGGTGCATGCACTTGCTATATATTACTGGGGGTGGGGCAGGAATAACTGGTTGCTCTTGAATATGTGTTTGCAAGCCTATACTGCTCTTTTAAACTCCTGAACAATTATATTGGCTAGATACTGCTAAATGGGGTACAAGATGAACAACCTAATCCAGGCTACTTTGAAGATTTTCAGGACCGGGTTAATTTCCACATGCGGGTCACCAGGTGCCGCTTATTGAAAATGCAACATGTAGTGTTTTCCTTTCAGAGTCTTGGAAAGGTGTCCTGCACTTCTGAGTAGGAGTCAGCCAATATTATAATGCCCCGGTGTTGATCTATGATGAGGCCTCATTTGGAATACTGTATACAATTCTCTTCACCGTATCACAAAAAAGATATCACAGAGCTAGGAAAAGTACAGAGGAGGGCAACGAAGATGATTAGGAGGTTGGAGCACTTTCTCTATGAGGAAAGGCTGAAAAGTCTGGGACTTTTCCGGTTAGAGAATAGACAATTTAATTGGGTACATGATAGGTTTATAAAATTATGCATGGGGTGGAGAGAGTTGACAAATCAAAATTTTTCTCTCTCTCCCAAAATGCTAGAGCTTGAGGGCGTCCAGTGAAGCTGATGGGCAGTAGATTCAGGATGGGCAAAAGGAAATATTTCTTGACACAGAAGGATTAAAAGGTGGAATTTGCTGCCAGAGCATGCAGTTGTGCCCCCAGGAATAAACAGCTTTAAAAGGGAATTACATAGATTCATGGATGATAGGTGGCTACTAGACATGGTAACTGAGGGGGAAGCTCTTCATTCAGAAGCACTAAAGCTCTGAATCCCAGATCCAGGAGGCAACATTGGAGGAAGGTCTTGGCCTCTATGCCCTCTTATTGTCCCTCCAGAGGAACTGGTTGGCCACTGTGTGAGACAGGGTGCTGGACTAAGTGGACCATTGGTCTGATCCAGCAGGGCTCTTGTTACGTTCTTATGGTAATCACCATAATCATTTGTGACTGGCAAACAGTATGGTAGAATGAAGAAACTGAAAGCAAAGCCTTGTGCATAAGGATTAAGCAGTGATAAGATACTGATGTATTTAAATGTGAAGATGCAACTGCAGTTACTGTTGGTTTGTTCTCACATGTAGAAAGCTCGTGAGGTGAATAGGGAACTTCAGGCTCAATTAGATCATGCACTACAAGAGGCCTTGGATCCTTCCAGTAAAGGCAATTCTTTGTTTGCTGAGGTACTGATTTTTATTATTAATTTTGTTTTAAATTGTATATTGTATTGAGACTGTTGAAACCTGTCTTGAGCCTGAGCGCGGGGAGGGCGGGATACAAGACCAATAAAATAAATAAATAAATAATGTATAAAGGTGTCAATTACATGTGCAACCATTTTCACCGTGTTCCTTATTATATCAAAGGTGGAGGACAAAAGAGCAGAAATGGCACATCAGCTAATCAGTGCAAAAGTAAAATATCAGTTACTACAAAAACAGCATACTTTTATGAGAGAGCAACTGCAAAGAATAAAGGTATGATTAATCTAGAATTTCTTTAGGCAAAAGACAAATGAGTGCAGGATAGGAACTGAGCATGTGTGTGTGTTAGTCCTATTGACATAACATTTCTATTTCTTGTATGCAAACAGCATACAGTTCTTAGAAATCTCGGGCAGTTAGGCTAATAGCTAGGCGGGTTGTCTGTAATTAGATTACGTAGCATTTCTGAGCCAGAATATGTGCTTTAACGTGTGGTGTACAGAAATATTTATATACTGATTCTGCAAACTACTCCATAGACTATAGTAGAACATCTATTTTTCCCTTCTTCAGCAGGCATGTGTTTCTAGAATCTCTTTCTAGTGGCATTTAAGTAACTTGATTGTAATTCATATTCCAGGCTAGTATGGATGTTTTGAGTAATGCAAATAAAGTTTTTGTAAAAAACTAGCAGGCAAAGCATGATGCTTTGTACTGGAGGTTCTCTAGATCCTGGTTATCCTGGACTATTTCAAATACTTGAGTTGCCTGAATGTGGATTATAATGATCTTTGCATGAGCGCTGATCCAAAATCTGATTTGACTTGTAGCTACAGATGGCTACACTGCTTCGGATGAAGGGATCACAGGGAGAGCATGATCAGCTGGAACGTTTGCAAAACATGCTTCAACAAAAGAATAGTGAAATAGAAGAACTTATAATGAAAGTGAAGCAGCTGGAAAAGTCTAAGGTATGTGCTTTGATAATAAAAACTTGTTTGTATCCAGCTTAATTTAGCGGGGAAGTGCATAGTATTGTGCTCTTCCCTTTGGAAAAATAGTGTGTTTCAGGGTTTAAAAGTAGCTTGAAAGCTCTTGAGTTGACATCAGGGTTAAGTGAATGAACTATGATGCAAAGAGGTCACCCTCATCTCTGCACACTTCCTTATTCATTGCAGTTGGAAACCTCTTGTCTAGAAAACAAAACTACTACTCTGTGTTCTAGAGCCACAAACTAAGCACAAAAATTCCTTCTTCATGATATGTGGACATGTGCATTCTCCAGAGGGAGGAACTGTGTCTTCGGTCCCCCCCCCCCCCCAAGCATCTTCTGGAACTTCACAGAGTTTGTTTCTTCAGAGCTATTTCAAATACATTTTTTTCTTCATTTTATCTCTCCTAGCACTGGGGAGTTCTCTTGGAGGCTTCCCAGCCCTTCACTATCTTCCTGCCTTCATTTCATGGCTAAAACAGCATCCTTTAAGAACGAATAGGAGTGTGGCAGACACTTTCCTTCCACAAGACTGCCACAACCACTGTCTTGTGTTTGGTTAAGGCCCATAACACTGAGACTAGCATACATTGTTTAACATGCCCTCGCTGCGCCTGGAGGAACAGACAGTCCCATTTGCACTATCTTCTGTGAGAACAGGCCCTTTTTACATCGAAAGGGTTATCTGAGCCCACTTCAACACTGACCAGTCCCCCAACATTGAACTGACCAGTTTTGTTGATCCCATTCAAGAGAGTTCTTGAGTCCTCACTTCCTAAGCAGCAGACGAAGGTAACAAAGTCACCATGATCTGGGGGGAAAAGAAAAAAACCCCTATATTAGGGAGGTGAGATAGATACAGTACGTATATGTGTGGGGAGGGGAACCTTTTGATACCTATCTTAGTTCTGACTAATGAATGTCTGATCACATTACTCAAGCCTGAACTCATTTTGGAGACTATCCAACTGCACATCCCAAAGGATCCTCCAGTAGTCAGAGTCCCACTTGTAACACACATATTGTTGGAAGTCATATGGAGTTAGCACTCCAGATCAGAATTTCCATCCCACACCACCCAGATTCAGTGTTGTATCAAGTAGTCATGTGACTTAAATTCCCCTCTGGCTATGTCCTTTTGATGAAATTGTTATGCACTAGCTTAGCACATCAGGTGATGCTGTGGTGCTAAACCAAGAACGCTGAAAGAACAGCATGTGCTGGGGTGAGAACTTTGCTACAGCTCAACTGTTTTCTTTTATTGAATCCAGTTGCAAAGATGTCAATGGCTACCGAATAATTCAATTTCTGTATCCCTAAGCAAATATTAAAATGTAGGCCATTTATTTCTTTTTGGTGCTGATCATGGCACTAATGATGAATTAAGCAACTTTTATCCTGTGTTTGTTCTTTTCTTTTCTTTTTTACCATGAAGAACATAAAGCCAGTATTTCATTAATTTGAATGAGATGCATTTTTATGTACCATATACAACTTGTGTTCTCATTTTGCAGTCGGAACACTAAAAATATCAAACACAAACAATTGCCTTCAGTTTTTATTATTGCTCTCCTGCAGGTGTCTGAAAACTCAAAAGAACTGATGCTTTATAATGTTTCTGAATGCACAGAATTTGGACAGGGCTATTACACAGACTTACTGCGGATGAAGCTTGAGAACTCTGAGTAAGAAAAGTGGTTTTAAAGGGGATGGCAAGGACAATTTTTTTCTCCATAGTTTATGTGCTCCTCAGTGGTACCCCAAAGGCTTTTATTTTTAAGACTGACTTTGAGGTTTGTTTACCCCACACACACACACCAGATTAATAAAGTATCATTTTTATCCCAGTGATGGTAAAATTAATTTAGTCTATTATTGTCCTGTTCAAATGTAGCCACGCTTCTGTAGTCAAGGGTTATTTCATGGTTGAAGTCTAATTCTGTTTTAGATTCTGGCCTTTAATTATCCTATCCTAACACATACTGGTAGGGTAACTGAGCGAGGGAAGGATTTATTCACTTGCACTAAAGCTGAACAGTGAGTTCGGTCTCAAATAATACTTAACCATCTTTTAGGTGATAAAGTCACTGAGTTCTGATGTGATAATAAATTATCCAGTACTTATTCATGATTTCTTTCTTTTTTTTAAATTTGGCAGTAAGGAGATAGAAAATTTGAGAAGTGAATTGTCCTTACAGCGGATGAAAGCTTTGTTTGAAAATCAGCGGGTTTTGGAAATTGAGCGGAAACTTTTTGCAAGTGAAAGACAGCTTGAGGCTTGTCAAAGTGACAGTATAAATTTGCAAGTGCTCCTGGAAGAATTGAGAATCAAGTATGAACCTGAAGGTAAATGTTTAAATTCCCTGGATGGAATAGAATTCATCACTGTAAATGTTCAGGAGTGCCTTGAGTTGGAAGAAGCTGCATGAGTATGTACAAGAGCAAGGGGACATTCCTTTTACCAACAATAATTTAAATTACTTTCACAACTCAGACCACTGAATCAAGAGAACTTTTATAGAATAATCAGAATGGCATTTTAACTGCTAGGTATCTCCCTTTGTTAAAACAGATATATTTTATTTTACTTCATTTATATCCTGCCTTTCTCCCCCAATGCGGCCCCAGAGTGGCTTACAGCTTTCTCATCTCCTTCGTTTTATCCTCAGAACAACCCTATGACCTAGGTTAGGCTGAGAAGGTCTGACTGGCCCAAAGCCACTCAGTGAGCTTCAATGGCAGGAGTGGGGATTTGAACCTGGGTCTTCCAGATACTAATCTGAGACTCTTAACCACTATGCCACATTGGCTATTGAAATTAATAAGAGCCAAATATGGGTTATACTACAATATGGGTCTAATAGCTTAAATAATAGTTTTACAAGTGATGGTAGAGTTTGAAATTGGTGCCTCACCGTGGCACTGCCCCCCCCATCTCAGCTCAAACTTCCCCAAAAGTTCCCTGAAGTTTAGAATCTTGTTCATAATGAGCTTATACTGGTGGCTTCATTTCTTACCATCACAGCCATTTCGTTTCTTTCCACTGGAGAATGTTACAATGGTTTTGGGGACACACGTTCTTTTCTGCTTTAGATTCCCTTAAACTATTGGTAATAACATTGGCTGATTTTCCCCAAGCTGCTGCTCCACGCTCGTTCCTCCCTTTGCCCCGATCATATGTGTCAACTTCACACCATGTGCTGCGCTGCTCCGCAGCTTTTCCCGATTCCCCCCGTGTCTACTCAATCCTGGTTTTTTGAGGATTGAGTAGACGTGGGGGAAATTGGGCGAAGCTGTGGAGCAAAATGCGGCTGCGCAGCACATGGTGTGAAATTGACACGTGCGATTGGGGCAAAGGGAGGAACAAGCGTGGAGCAGCAGCTTGTGGGAAGTCAGCCACAGTTTCCTGCTTTGCTTTTTGCTAACAAAAAACACCCACCAAGGGAAGACCATCCACAATTCACAACTATATATGCTCAAAACTGTATATTGCATTCATTGAAATACAAAGAAGGGTTAGTGGTCATAACCCAATAGAATGTATAGGCACTTATCCAACAGATTGCTCATAACAATTAAGCATATTTTACAAAAAGAACACATTCAAAACCAACAGTAGGCTCCTCTATAATTCCATACATAGATAGTGTCCATAGACCTCCAAACAAGAAGTACATAATGCATATATCAATTCAGAACCATAGAAAAAATGCACCTCACCCCAATTTCCAAAACAACATAGGCAATCCTCAATAGCTTCAATGGAATCTTAGGGTTCTCTACAAGGCAATCTGCCATGCAGCATTTAACCATAAATGAGCCAATTGCAATACAGTTTCTTAAAGTGGACCCATCCCATTTTTCACAAACATGCCTGAGATATTCGTCATGGTCTCTGTGCAGCCCCACACATAGGTTGGGTGCCTGCGCACAACCTCGATCAGAGAATATTCCAGAGCTTGCCTCAGGAGTCTTTTTGGCGGGCTCTCTTCTCGCCCTGGGGAGCAGGCACAGACTGCGCATGCCTGGAGCAGGGGAGAGAGCCGCCTCCCACTCAGTTCTTCTTCGACTGCCTTCGTGTTCACACCTTGCAGCGATCAGTCTTCAAATTGCCTCAGATGAGTTCTTTTTCATCTTTCTTTGTCAACTTCTTCTCATCTTTGCTCCTTTTCTTTGTTTTTCTTCTAAACTAAACCTGTTCTATGGAGAAAAGGGGGGGGGCTTTTTTAACCGGTGTACAGGCTGCAGCATTAAACTCGCACCGCCTGACCACCACAACCTCTGTATTTTGTGTTTGGGAGAGTCTCACAGACCTGACTCTTGCTGGCACTGTGCTAGATTTTTAAACCAAACCCGAAAAAACTGAGCTGCGCACCTCAAAGTGGCGCTACTTGAATCGGCTCTACATCCTTCCACAAAGATGGACTCCGAAAGACCTTTGACCTCGACGGCTCCGTTATCGAGGCCTGCCTCTTACATCATCCAACCAGCGCCAAAGCCTCCGGTATCGAAGGCGCAATCCTCCACCTCAACACCGGTAAAGAAGAGTCCCAAGGCAAGTAAGGATAAAAAGGGTTCCTCTAAGCCCCTCAAAGCGGCAAAGAAGGTGAAAGTAGCGGCGTCTGCACTGGGTGATGCCCCTATAGTGCCCCCCGCTCCATCAATATCGGAGACGCACGCTCCTCCACCGATACCTACCATTCAACTTTTGGACTCTCCTATGCAACAACTAGAGCGTCCCTATTCCGACATCGACAATGTGGAGCTCCTAAGTCACCCCATGGATGCAGAGCCTTCCCTCTCTCCTTCTCCATCATCGACATTGACAGTTTCGGAAGCTCCCAACATCGATACAGGTCGGAATCGACACATTTCTACTAGCACGCAGCATCAACCTCCACGTCTACATGGTGAGTCTGTCGATATCGATGAGAGAGTTTATAGGGATCGTTCACAAAGGCGACACATTCCTTTGTCTCCGAGATGTGATCAATCCAGAAGTCAATCCCCCAGAGTTTTTATCCCCCACCACCGATGTCTTGGGATCAACGCCAATTGAGATACCTCTACGGCAATTATCCACCATCCATGCCCTGGCTGACTCCCGCGGGCTATTCCAACTGGGATCGCTATTCTACCTACTCTGCTCACAGATCATGGTCACCTTATAAATCGAGACCTTCAGCATCTCTGTCTCGACCTCTGGTTGAAAATCCTTCCCAACATCAAAGGGAACCTCTGCGTCCTCCCAACCCCCAAGTCGTTCCACCAAAAATTTTAACTGCTCAAACGGAAGTTACTCCAGTACAAATGCCAGAACAGAACTGCTCTGAATCTGGAGACGAACAATCTTTTTTTAAAAAAACAAAACATTTTATTGTCGGGTCATAACAACATGTCCAATATTATAACATTCCCTTATTTCTATTATAGCCCTTTCCCCTTCCTTCCTCCCTCCCTCCCCTTCTCCAGGCTTCCCGCAGTGATCCCACCCCTACCTAGTTTCTTTTCTTGTCTAATCCTTCCTCCTAAAATAAAGTTTAATATGTAATTATTATTTTAACTACCTTTTTCATATATTCTATCTCATAGGTAACATTTCTTTAACTACCATCGTCTTCTGTTCAACTCTTTACACATTCTATTCTTAATAATTATTAAAGCACGATAAGTTGTTCTTAACATCCCAATATTTCTCTAGATACTCTTTAAAGTCCATCCAGTCTGCAAAAAACTCTTCATCTTCTTTGTTAAGTTTCCTTGTCAATTTGTCCATTTCTGCAATAAAAAGCATTTTTCTAATCCATTCCCAAACCTCAGGTACTCGGTCTTGTTTCCAGTACTAAGCATAAGTCATTCTTGCCATTGTAATCAAATACCATAACAATGTTCTCTTATTTACATTCACTTCCTCCATTTTAATACCCAAAAGAAGTATTTCTGGTTCTTTTTTAAATGGAGACGAACAATCTGATACAGAGGCTTCGGAGATCCAAACCTCCCCTGACCACAAGTCTTCGAACCAAGCTGTCACGGAGGACCTTCCTATATCACCATCCGACAATCTCACTTCTTATGCAGACTATCAAACAAGTGGCCCACTCTCTAGGCCTCTCTGTCATACAACAACAGCCACAGGTTACTGATCCTGTTTTTGATATTGTACAACTGGATACCTCCACTACCATTGCACTCCCCATGTCTGCGGTCCTTTTGCAAGCTATCAAGGCCCCATGGGAAAAGCCTTCCTCAGCCCCGGTGTCGACGAGATGCCTGGACCACATGTACAGAGTCCAGGAGACAGGTGCCGAATTTTTATTTTCCCACCCTCAACAAAACTCAGTTGTCGTAACATCCTCATCCAAGTCAAAATGAACGCACTCAGCACCCTCTGACAGGGAAAGTAGAAAGTTAGATGCATTCGGGAGACGATTCTACTCAACAGGTGCGTTAGGGGTCAAAACCACTAACTACCTTGCCTGCATGAGCAGATATCAATATACTCTCTGGGAAAGGTTCTCTGAACTCCTGACCCTGAAGACAAGCTTCAGGCGGCCAGGATCATTCAAAAGGAGGGCATGGTCCTTGCGAAACAGCAGATCAACACTGCCAAACATGCCCTAGATGCTTCCTCCAGAACAATGGCATCAGCAATAGCTCTTAGGAGGCACTCCTGGCTCTGCAATACCAATCTTCCACTAGATACTAGATCCTATGTCGAAGACCTTTCTTTTGATGGCCTTGGTCTCTTCAACAGCATGACCGATACCATGCTCCAGGATATGGATAAGAGCATAAAGGCCTCTCACGCTCTTGGAGTGTCATCCTCCACGAGGCAACAATATCGCCCTCGCACCTGGACTAGGCCCTGGCAAAGATGCACCCTGAATCGTTAGTCTCCGGACAGGCAATGGAGACCACGTACGGCTTCCGGTAGTCAAAGACCCACCTTTCAAAAGCCTAAGTTCGGAACTGGACAACAGCCCTCACGCGCCAAACAACCCAGGTTCTCCGAGCAGGGCTTTTGACTCCCTCCTACCGAGTCAGTTCAAACCCGTCTGTCATCCTTCCTTTATGCCTGGCGTCACATTACTTCGGACCAATGGATACTGTCCATCATAACCCAAGGCTACCATATTCAATTCGACCAGAACCCCATCACTCCAGTCGTCATCACCACACCCCCTTCTCCGCCTCCTAGATGAGGTCTCCATCCTCCTGCAGAAGGGAGCCATCGAGCGAGTACCACCACACCTCTATGGGACAGGATTTTATTCCCGATACTTCACAGTTCCAAAGTGGGATGAAGGCGTTCGGCCCATATTAGATCTAAGGGAGCTGAACTGTTATGTCACCTACCACCTCTTCCACATGGTGTCCTTGCAGCAGATTATGCCACTTCTCCAGAAAAACATCTCCTCCAAGATGCGTACTTCCACCTCACCACCCACCCCTCCCACCGCCAATACCGAAGCTTCGCAATTGGTCAACAGCATTACCAATATTCAGCCCTACCATTCGGCCTTTCAAGCGCGCCAAGAGTCTTCACAAAGATTATGATTGTGGTGGCGGCCTTCCTCCGTCTCAAGGGTATCTCCATCTACCCGTACATCGACAATTGGCTCCTAGTAGCGTCCTTCAAGGACACTCTGGTCTCAAACATCAATGAGACGATGATACTCTTGGAAAACCTGGGCCTACAAATCAGTCTGCAAAAGTCTCAACTCCAACTTTTTTGTTCAGCAGATACAATACATCGGTGCTCTACTGGATTCCAAGACATGCATGGCTTTCCTGCCCCAAAACAGAGCGGCAAACATCATCCACCTAGCTACCGTCGTCCGTACCCAACCCTTTGTCACGGCCTTCCAGATACAGAGGCTACTCGGCCTTATGGCCGCGACTACGTCAGTCCTGGTCTTTGCCAAAATGAAAATGCGCCACCTACAACTGTGGTTTATCCACAACTTCAGCACAACGAAAAATGCACATGCCACCGTCCTAACCCCCTCCCAACATACGAGAGTCCTTACTTTGGTGGACTGTCCCTTCCAATCTTTTCCAGGGACCACCCTTCCATCCGCCATCACCCCAAGTCACCCTAACGACAGATGCCTTCCCTGACGGGCTGGGGTGCCCACATGATGGGCCTTTCTGTTGGAGGCAAATGGGACACGCAGAAGAGGAAGCGATGGCAATACAGTATGCTGTCACCAGCTTCCTACCTATAATCAAGGGAAAATTTGTCACGGTTTTCACGGACAACACCACGGCACTCTCTTATGTTAACAAGCAAGGAGGCACTGTTTCTCTACGCCTCTGCAACCTTACCATCCTGTTGTGGAACCTTTGCATCACCAACAACATTTTCCCCGTAGCCACACACATCCCTGGACACATGAACGTGGAGGCAGACCATCTAAGTCGAGCAGGACTCAGCCTTCACGAGTGGGAGATGAACCCAACATACCTCCTCCCACTCTTCCGCAGGTGGGGAATTCCCCCAGTCGATGTTTTTGCCACCATAGCAGAGGCGGAAGGGATCCACAGCCTCTAGGAGACGGTCTCCTTTATCCTTGGTCCACCGGCCTTCTTTACCTGTTTCCTCCCTTACCCCTGCTTCTAAGAGTGGTCCACAAAATAGTCAAAGACGGCGCGGACTGCATATTGATAACCCCATGGTGGCCGAGGCAACCATGGTTTTCGACCGTCCTCGAATTGTCAACAGGGGTATATCATCAATTCCCTCCAGCTCAGGACCTCCTCTTCCTGTCCGACTCAAAGGGTTTTACAACCGACGTACCACAATTGAAATTAACAGCGTGGAGAATAACGTCAAAGGGTTTTACAACCGCGTAGCGAATGTTCTGTTGAACGCCAGAAAACTTACTACACGAAAGTCCTACCATTATAAATGGCAAAGATTCTGCTCTTCCCTAGGTGATGATGCCCCTCAAGCCACCTCCATGGGACTCGAAAAAGTCTTCCAATTCCTCCTGTCCCTAGCTGACTCGGGACTTTCCCATTCATTGTTACAAGTTTATTTGGCCCCCCCTTTCGGCCTACCATGTTCAAATTGACAGATGCACACTGTTTTCCCATCCGCTTTCGAAACGTTTTTTAAAAGGTTTATTGCATCTCTACCCTCCTGTCAAAACTCCTGTCGTTCCCTGGGACCTTCCTCTAGTTCTTCGCCAGCTCATGAGGAAACCCTTTGAGCCACTCGCAACTTGCGATATGAAATGTCTGTCGTGGAAGACGGCCTTTCTGGTTGCTGTCATCTCATCCACCTCTGCTACCTGATTGCAAAACAGCCATTGCCTAGCCCGATCCGGGCCCATTCAACCCGAGCTGTTGCAGCTTCCACTGCCTTCCTCCAGGGAGTGCCCTTGACGGACATCTGCAAAGCCGCTACATGGGCCACGCCTTACACCTTCATCAGGCACTACGCCCTAGATGTCCGAAAGAACTCTAATACCAACATGGGACGTCGCATTCTATCTTCAGCTACGCAGTAAAGGACCTGCCAGCACCCTCCTTCAGGTAGGCCACTGCTCGCTAATCTCCCATGGGTGTGAAGCACAGAGACCACGTCGAAGATAAACAGGTTGCTTACCTGAAACTAGTGATCTTCGAGTGGTCATCTGTGCATTCACACCACCCACCCTCCTTCCCTGCTGCTGTCAGCTTCTACATTTTCCATAGGGGTTGATTTGCGGCGGTTTGAAGGAACTGGCGGGATGTCCGCACCCACCCCTCTGGGCATGCGCGGTGGGGTTCCTGCGCATGCTTGAGAGACTGGGTGCAAAAATCCATTAAAGAGCTTGCTACAATGTCAATCGATCCAGCGCGTGCGCACTAGATCCCATGGGTGTGAATGCACAGATGACCACTTGAAGATCACTAGTTACAGGTAAGCAACCTGTTTTCACTGTGAGGCTTGGTTTCTAAGAATAGACTTGTATAAGGGCTCTGGGAAGTCATTCTGGGCTTCAATTCCACAATGGTCTCCTGTAGTGTCATACAAGCCATCTTCCTTAAGAGATATGAATTAATGCAGTTAATGCTAATTAGTTAAACGACCAGACTTACTTAACCTTACGAATGGTTCTGTGTTCTTTCTCCGCCCTGTCATGCTGCACTAGAGTTAATGAAAAATCCCATCAGTTTTAAGAAGGCTCCAGGAAACGTGGCTTCTGCTAACTCAAGTAGCATGAGGATCTCTGCACATGAAACTGCTTCATTGCTGTCTCAAACATATGAAGAGATTATAAGTGAAAACGCCATGAAAACCTCTGTACAAGCTGTACCAATGAACGTAATTCTACCTTCAGCAATGCATCAGAAAACTGATCAGCCTGAAAAGAAGAGAGTTAGTATCAAGGAGGAAGAGCCTGACAGGAAAAGTATAAAAAAGAAAGATGGGAATGATACTGCACCTTATCCTGTTACCAGGTCAGTGTCTTCTAATATGCATGCGCAAGACAGTTGGCACAGACCTGCATCTCTTTTCTTTCGCTGCATGAACTATGCTATCTACTTCTTCATTTACTTTCTCAGTGTTGCATGCAGTGCAATCCCTCAGTTCCAGCTGCCTACTCTGACATTTTCAAAACCCTTTAAAAAGATTAAAAAATAACAGAATGAGAAGGACTCTTAAATCATGGACAGATCGTAAAGATGTGTTTTCACTATTTAAATGGCTGTAGTAATGAACTAGTGCTTTACGATGTATTTGCCATCTGTATTAGCCATTGCATGTATTCAGAACTTTTGTGCTCCGTTTTTAAACTGGCATACATTGCAAGGTACAGCATGACACTTCATGGTAGTCAAATTACTACTACATTTTTAAATGAAATTTCAAAAAGCCACTTGAACTTTCACAATGAATATGCACTTAGCTTAAAATAGGAAGTTCATGTGGCCCATAGTGACAGATCTAATGTTGAACTAGATGGAGACCAGGGTGGCTGAGATTGTCTTAATAACTGTTAAAATGTTTAGCATTAAGCATATTACTCATTTTTTACTTGCAAAGCAAAGAGAAATATTTTTAAATCACTATATTCACAATAACCTCTCAAGATGAACATTGTTTGCTCAGTAGATGTTTGTCTACCAAAACTGCTGGACAAGGGGATTGACATTAATCTTTGACCTGGCCAGACACACAAAGTAGCTTTCTTTGATAGTGCAAAGGCAAGTTGCTCAGACTTCTTCAGTGTTGTATTTTTCCCCAGTAGTAGATAGGGTGGCAGTGTAGATCATATCTTGGTCATAATTCAGTCTTAAGTCAGTGTGTGTTTTTGTAGACATGTTGCTTTCTTTTAACTAGGGTTGATATAACTGGCTTTTGACAATAGGAGAAGTATGTATTGACAAAAATGGCTTTGCAGAGAAAAGGAGGTGGCTGATGGGAACGAGAAATGGAGGTTGCTGTTTATAGGATGACGGTAAAAAATTTGGTGCACAGGTGGATTAGCTATTTCACTATGTGAGTGAAAAGCCTACCTTTTGGGCTTTCCTTTTCCATCTTGTGTATTAGACATGGGGTATATTATGGAATAGCAAAGTTTTTTTTAGGCTACACTACTTTGAAAGCTTTTTCCTTGGTTAGGTGAAAACTTTCTGCCATACTTTCAGAACAGTGCTAGAATTAACAGTGAGACATAGCTACCGGATTTATAGTGAAAAGTGTATTTCTGATGCCAGTATTCAGTTGGGTGGTTGTAACAACGGCTACACATTCAGAGACAATAATGCATTTAAATTTGGTGCAAGGGTCTGTCCTGGGCAGTATATTTAAAGAACCTTTTCCTGAGTATTGGCAAGCTGCCCTTAAGGCAAAATTATGGAAACCTGAGTATGCTGTTTAATCCAGCTGTGCTTCCTAATTCAGCAGGGCTTCCTAAATAGCACCACTGATATGGAATTCTAATGGTACATTTTAGGGCAGTCTCTCTGCTATAGGTAAAGGCCTGGAGCTGCTCAGAGAGTTGAAGCAGGTAGGTGCAAGGTGAATGGGTGGAATGGATGGAGGAGTCAAATAGCTGTTTCATTTGAATATGAAGTAGTTAGGCTCATGAAACTGAAGGAACCATAGTTTAGAGGAGAGTGCCACAGAGACGCTGAAAGGAGAAGGATGACTAAGCTTGATATGATAGTTTGGGGGAAATGAGTGGACTGATGGTCAAGTTGATGCTGTGCCGAGTTCAGGGTGATTCCCTTGGGAAAATGTGGCAAATCTGCATGTACAGTTAACAGAGAAGCCTACATGTATCCATACTACTAGTAGCTTTTTAGGAAGACTTGGTATACTTTTGAATTTACTCCAGCATATCATTGGAGTTTGTGCTTCTTACGCGCCATAGCATCTTTTAAACACTCTTTAAGCAAGTTAGATTTTCTCGGGTTTGCATTGTAAAGGAAGTATTTGGTAGGGAGACAAGATGTATGTTAGCGCATGAAGGCTCAATAATAGTGCTTCAGAATTCTGAACATTTGCTAGAAAGAACTGGACACTCAAGAGCTGCTTCCAAAGAGTGGTAGGACAAGTTACTTGAATAGCAGTGACGGATAAATTTTGCCAATTAAAAATTAGTATGGATTGACTTAATGTGGTGTTGAATGCATCAGCTATTACAATTAAACTCCTATAATGTCTCATATCTTGGAGTCTATGTCTGTCCATCTTTTTTACCTTAAAAGCTTTGCTGGCATGAGTAGCAGAGCATTGTGTGAGCTGGGCAGAGGATAATGTAATAGATTGTGTTAGGGGAACCAGGAATCTTTAATCATAGAAGTCTCTCCCTCTCTCCCAGTAAATGCATAACAGAATAGTACAGCTTTTCCTTTAGATATCATTATGATTTTGTGATATCAGTAGTCAGTAATCCAATCCCCACCTTTGCTAGCAGCCAACACACTTCATGCTGCTCTGGAAGCAAAGCTAGGAAAACAGGGAAGCATACAGAGGTGGTAAACTACAAGTACAGTTCATATCTGGAAATGCACCTGACATAGTTGAAGGGGACACTGAACAGGTCCAGGTCCCAAGTGGTAGAGGAAAGGAACAGGGGGAAAGAGAGACAGGCAGGAAGCATAGTGGGACTTTAATTCACTATTTTTTGACCCTATTTTCACGTGGGACTTCATTAGTAGCTTAACTTTCTGGTATAAAATATAATTAGGTGCAATTTGCATGTAGTTTTAAATGACCTCAGGTAGCTGATGAGAGTAAAGACCTTTCGATATGTAATCTAGAAAGAAGTTAAAATGTATAACATTGTAATTTTCAGTATATTATGTGCAGTATTGTTCATTAATTGTGAACAAAATTAGTTACACAATGTTTTCTATGATCTGTCTATATACAGTGTAGATTCTTAAATAAAAATATACATTTTGAGTGAATAAAAGTGAATACATTTTGAGTGAATAAAAGTTTGTTTTAACATTTTACTTATTCCAAAAGAGAGAATAGTTAACCAAGTGCCACAACTTTTACTACGGTGTTGGCCACTGCTTGGTCTCAAAGAAGTGTAGTCAGTGGTGGAAAAAGCCATGGGTGCTACCTGCTGACACAGCTACTGAGCAGATGGTGTCCATAGCTGGGATCCTGCTCCTCCTTGCTCCCTGCTTCCATGCTGCTGATCAGCTGTGTGTTGGGCAGAGATTTAAAGTGCCAGGACACTGTGAATCCTGGCCCTTTAAATCCTCAGCTGCTGGCCAGCTGACTGGTGGTTTGGAGGCAGGAGGCACCTTGTGGCCACTGGTGCCTTCCGTTTCTGCTGAGCAGGATGTGCACATAGCCAGGAGCCCATCAGGATATGCTGCGTCTTATTCCTAGCCTGATTTAAGGCGGTGGGTTTTGTCCATGGTTTCAGTAAAAGCTTGGTTAACATTTTGTTGTTGTTGTTATTTTTAAAAGGCAATTGTATCCAGTATTTTTTAAAAGGCAATTGTAACCAGTGAATCTGGTTAACAAAGGTTTTATTATTGTTTTTCAGCCTTTTCACTGCTTTCTCATATCTGGTTTTTCCATTGGGGAAAAATAGTCCTGAGGGAGCGGAAGATATGTGGCTTATGATAACTTAGTTTATCCTTCTCTGAGGCCCTTGGACAAATGCACTCAGCAGAGGATCTGCTTCCCTGTGGTGCAATCTCATGGTGCAAGAGGAGTATGGATTAATACTGTAATCCAATTGTGTGGATTGGACCAGTTGCATGGATATCTTGCCCCCATTTGGCAATCTCCTTGAAGAATGTTGGGTGGGAAAGACCCTGCAATGGTTATGTTTGTACACGGGATCATACTGTGTGGTCCTATGTTGCTGGATGTACATGTGGTGAGCTTGAGGACATTACATTAGCTATACAGCATGTGGGGGATACAATTAAGTCACAGTGCTGCTGCTTATAGAAAAAGGCAGACAGGAGCAAATGGATTTTGATAGGGTAACAGTGTAGTACCTCAGTCCTCGTTCTTTTAAATGAGGCCTGCCCTGCTGCAATGACATTAGTAGCACAGGAGCACAATTCCTTTATCTTGTCCCTGCATTGTGACCTTTAGTTTGTCCTATATGCAGGTGGAACTTAACAGCACAAAATTCACACTTAGTTATCTAATCTGGAGCCTGTGGCAAGACTTCCTTACATTTCCACATGTGTTATATCTAACATATAAATAATGCACAAATGGTACTAGTCCATAAGCTACTCGCTTGCCTGTCCATGTTTGTTAGTCAATTTGTAGAATATCAGCAGATCCTATCAATGAGCCACTGCTTCTTTTCAACTTTACAAAATCTTTCTTACCCATTACACTACATTCTTATGAGCCAAGAAATCATAGTGCAGGTGTATTGGCCAAATCTTGAAAGTGTGATAAGTTGCTTGTATGAAGCGGTTTGCACAACTAGTGGAACTACACATAAAGCACTTTAATTTCTTTGGAGTGTGTGTGTCTGCTTTCCCCCATTTTGACAATGCTTGAGTTACATAAATGGTACTCAAAAAATCTAATTGTAATCAACGATGAAGTTAAGTGAACTTGGAAATGTGACTTCATGGCAACTAATATTTGTTTTGAGTAGCAGACAAAGTAACAAAAGTGACAATATTTCATTTAAAAGTGAAGTTAGAGTGGTTGCTTTGCCTGTAGGTCGACATCTGAACTTGGAGTAAAGACAGAAGAAAACTATGCTGGTGCAGCTCAAGATGCAAGTAAACAGAAGAAAAGCCAAAAGAAAACATACCCTGTAATACGTATGTCTTCCAGAGACGCTCCTGAAACGCAGTGTGCTCAACAGTAATTTTGAAAATATTTGTATTGCTCAGGGCCTTACTGTTTTGATTGTAGGACAAAGCATTGGAATAGAAAATTTGGGTTGTTTCTTCAGTGCCTTGTATTTAAATACTCTGTCTATATAGACTGTCCTACAGGTATTAAGAAATTTATAATGGTGTTTTTAGTTGAGGAGAACTGCAGAACTGAAATAAAATTCATCAAAAACTACTGTTTCAGTTGAAACAAATGGTTTAGATTGTGTAGCATTCCTCAAAAACTATAATAAACATACCAGTGATTTGATTAACATAGATACTACAATGGCTTCAGAGATATTTAAAAGATATATTTGTCATAATGTCACATATTTGTGAAAGACTCTAGTGGAGGCTGTACAGTTACATCAACTGATTAAGAATTGGTGGGAGGAGATAATACCCAGATTTCGTAGCCTTGGCCAAAGATGTCTTAATATACATTTTCACTTCTCTAGTTATACTGATGTGTTTAACACTTTGTCTAATGTGCAAGTTTAAATAAACCTTTCAAATTGTTGTGTTCAGCTTGTCACTTGATTTATTTAATAAAACATTTTTTATTTTAAATTTAAGGTTAAAATGCAGAAATTTCTGGAAGTTAACTAAATACTTCTAAAATACTAAGACAGGATTGCACCCAAATTAAGAATTTTAAATCCCATTGATGTCAATAAAGTAACTGTTCTGTCCACTCTTTTGTAACACATTCCCCTCAGAATAAGTGTCACTAGACACTGGGAATGGGGGAGCAGTAACAGCTGCATCTTGTAGTATGCCTGGGAACTCACATCACGGCTCAGCGTTTGTAAAGGTGGATTATAGGTCTCATCCGCGTTTGCTATCACTAAGCAGCTATTGCCTGGCCGTATCAGGGCCCATTCAATACGAGCTGTTGCAGCCTCAACTGCCTTCCTCCAGGGAGTTCCCTTAATGGACATTTGCAGAGCTGCTACGTGGGCTACGCCTAATACGTTCATAAGGCACTCCGCCCTAGATGTCCGAAAGAACTCTCGTACCAACATGGGACGTCACATCTTATCCTCAGCTTTGCAGTAATGACCTGCCAGCCCCCTCCTCCAGTTAGGCCACTGCTCGCTAATCTCCCATGGGTGTGAAGCACAGAGACCATGTCGAAGATAAACAGGTTGCTTACCTGTAACTAGTGATCTTCGAGTGGTCATCTGTGCATTCACACCACCCACCCTCCTTCCCCGCTGCTGTCAGCTTCTACATTTTCCATAGGGGTTGATTCGCGGTGGTTTGAAGGAACTGGCGGGATGTCCGCGCCCACCCCTCTGGGCATGTGTGGTGGGGTTCCTGCGCATGCCC